TCAGGAGACAAGTGCATGCGCGCTACCGTATCCTTGAACAGCACGTCCATGGAACTCCCCGTATCCACGAGCATCCTCTTTACCATGCACCCTGCCACTATTCCTTGAATCTCCAGCGCCTCTAAGGAGGGGACCCCATAAGCTTCATCAGGCACCTGATTGAAACTAATGCACACCCCTTCGTGTCGATCAACCGATGCTGCTCTTAGGCGCCTGCTAGCTTCCAATTTCTCTCTCAAATCTCCGGTGCCTGTAATCGCGTCCACCGTAAGCCTCACCTTCTCAGGCGCCTTTTCCTGATCTAGCTCGAATGGTGGCGGGGGGAGATCCTCCTTGGGCCCCGCTCGGGCCACATATGCCCTGTGCACCCTCTCTTCCGGTTTTTTGACGAACTCATTAAGCATGCCCCTGTCCACCAATCCTTGCAATTCAGTCTTCAACTGGTAACAATCAACTGTATTGTGCCCCCGTTCCCGATGGAAGTCACAAAATCTATCGAGATTTTGTGGGTTGGGTTGCCCCCTCATAGGCCCTGGCCATCTCACGTGGTACCCCTTATCTTTTACGTATTGCAACACGTTCTTCGGCGAGTCGTTAAGCTCCGTGAATTGACTCACTTTAGGCGCCAGGCGCCCCGGATCACTCCTCCGCACCGGTGTGACCGATGTTCCTCCGTAGAAAGGCCTAGACTCGGGCACCTGCCTTCGTCCATCTCCTTCCTCTCCCCTGGGTCGGCGCCTGTCGGCCCGCCTTGACGCCAGCGCCTCCTCCAACACTATAACTTTCTGCACCCTTCGATCCAAATCTTCCGTAGACACTACATCCCTTTTAGCTAGCGCCCGACAAAGTTCCTCACTGGTGGTGCACTCCTCGAGGAGGACTCCAAGCACCGGGGGCTGCACATCTCTCACCGCCATGGCCACCGGGATCCATCGCTCATAGAACTCCCTCAAGGTTTCTCCCTCCTTCTGCTTGATCTTAAATAGTGAGCCCACGGTCAGTGTGCGCCTCTTCCTACTTGCGAACTTAGCCAGGAACATCGCCGCAAACTGCTCAAAGCATTCTATGCGCCCTTCCTCGATCTGATGGTACCAATCTAATACGACGCCTGAGAATGTTGAGGGGAACACCTTGCATAAAGTTGCGTCCGAACTGTTGTACAGCTGCATTTTGGTGAAGTAGCTGTTGAGGTGGTCGTCCGGGTCCGCCGTACCATCATAGGTGGGAAGCGGCGGAATGTTGGTACTAGCGGGCTCCATGAGCACGCTCCGGGCCAAAGGTTGCCTTACCACAAACTGTCGATGCGGGCGCCCCGGCATCCACACATTCCTCTCTCCCTCCGAATCTCCGTAATCAGCCAGGCGCCTCATGCTGGCAAGGCGCCTCAGCGAGCTGGGCTCCCCTTCAGCTTCCATCGTACGCTCCCTCTTCCTTGCTCCGGGACTTGGGGCGCCCTCCTTCAACATTTCCACCTCTCTCCTTAACATCCCAATGGCCTCGTCTTGATCGGCTATGATCTTGAACAGTTCCTTCTTAGTCACCGATGCCCCATCTGAATCCGGGCGCGGGTCTTCACTTCCCTCATCCTCCCCCATGCTGGGCGTTCCTCCTCCTGCTTCTTGAGACGCCTCCCCCATGTGTTGCTCCTCCATCTCGCTTCCACCCTCCATTGAAACTAGGCGCTTTCTTGTTGTGTTCTTCCCCTTCCTGGCGCGCCAATTGTTGAAGCCCACTCGATCGGCCTACTTTTCTTCCGTACCAGCTGACTCCCTCCCGATGAAGCCTGCACTCACAGAGGTGGGCCTTGTGGCCCGTTAGTCCTCCAACGCTCAAGTCAGTATCTTTCTTAGAGAGAGAAGTGCTTGCAATGCACAATTTTTTAGTGAGAGAAGCCAATTTGAGTAAATGCTTACCCACCTCCCTATTTATAGCCAATTACTGCTTACCTGGACTTTCTCGTACGGATTTCCACGTCAGCCCTACATTTAATGCGGGTGACCCAGGGCGCTTCCTCCGAAGAAGATTCCAGGCGCCCTCTCCGAGGGTCCACAATTCCCACGTGCATACCCGGGCACCTACGGTGCGAGTACTCCTAGGCGCCTAGTGCATGCAACTCCCAACTTGCTCCTGATCTAAGCCCGTGGGCGCCTATCATGGCCTACACCATCTTGAATGGGCTCACCTTTAATGGGCCTCATACATACATCGGGGCCTCCTTATTCGTATACCCCCAACAGATATTATTTTTCAAACGCTGAAGTAATAATTATTATTTATCGATTAATGTAACTTTTTATCTTAATAGATTTATTAAGAAAAATTTAGGTTAAATACACTTGTATATCCAAAAGTATCACGTTTGTGCCAATAATATCCAAAAAACCGGAAATACCACTTATATCCATGTTTTAAACTTCTTCTTTGCCAAATCTATCCATCTCCGTTAAATGTTTTGACGGCGTTAATAACTCCGTGAGGATAGCTGACGGCAAGCTGATTGTACGCCAACTATGCAGACACGTAAGCGCCACCTACGCCAAAAGTGCCACGTAAGAATGAATTAAAAAATTAATTTTAATAAAAAAAACCCTAATCCCACATATTAGCACTGACGAGTGACGACGACCAAAATCTCCACCTGCCGAAATCCCTTTCTCCTTTCGTTTTTAGGGTTAGCACCCTGGCGGCGACAAAAACTCCACCTGCCGACTGAGCCTCCACCAGGCGATTTAAGATCCTCCCGCCGACACTATATACTCGTGCGATTCTGGCGGATTTGGCGAGTGGCGATTGAGATTGAAGATCGGGTCGCCGAGTGAAGATTTCAGATTCATGGTTTTTGGCGATTTGGCGACTCCTGCGATTCTGGCGGATTTGGCGAGTGGTGATTGGCGACCCAGATCTTCGACAAAAGCGATTTGCAGACCACAATCAACACCCACAACTACAAATTCAAAAGGGAGACTCACCTGTGGCTCAACTCGAGGTTGCTCAGAAATCCCCCTTTTCGGTGCGATTAGGGTTTCCACGAATTCTATCCTCGGGTTTCCTGGGTTCTTCGCTCGTCGCGCATAGGGGGTTTCCACCGGAAAGGAAGGATAGGGAGAGGCAGCCTAAGCTCGTCGCGTTTCCAGGGTTCGTCGCGATTAGGGTTTCTTCGAAGGTGGGCGAGAAGGTAGATCGACGAAGGATGAAGGAGAATCAGGGGATACGACGGAATAGGGGGGTCGCTGCCTTCGTCATTCTCCATCGCATTCGTCTTCCTCCGTCGCCGTCGTCCTCCTTCGTCGCCTTCGTCAAAATCCCTCTCCTTCGTCGCCTTCGTCGAACTGGACAGCCGAAGGGTTAGGGGTTGGTGAGATGGAAAATTTTAGATGGGTAGAAAGTTGGGTCGAGTCGAGGATGAGGTCAGATGGAGTCAACTGAATTTTTTTTTATAAATAATATTAATTAGCTATACACGTGGATAAGACTAACTCCAACCCCAAAAGCTATATTTAGCCTCCCAAGCTCTCAAATGTGCATATTTGCCTCCCCAAAACACCTTTTTGCTCCAACCCTAAAAGCTTCCAAATTTAGCTTCCCACATCTTTTTTTGATTTAATTTCCATAATCCATACTTATTTACAATATCATTCTTGTAATTCACTTGATTGATGCCAACCGCTCCATCTTCAGATATTGATATCCAAGATTTGCACAAGTTTACATCTTCATGAGCTTTCCAATTGGGGCCTCTCTTACTTGACATGTTTTTGTTTTGAGAGATGATAAATAGAAGAGAATGAGAGAGATTGATTTGAGAATGAGTGCAGAAAAACCATGAGAAGTTACTCATTATATAGAAAAAAAAATATGACCGTTTTATGGCCGTTAAAATGTGTCTGTTGCAATGTGACCGTTTTATTGTCACTATATTACTTCTTTCAAACTAAAACGCAAACACACCCACACAAACTAAAACGCAAACACACCCACACAAACTAAAACGCAAACACACCCACACAAATAAATACAAACAAAAAATGAAAAAAAAAAGCAGCAGCAGGGACCCCGCGTGCAGGCGAGGCCCAACCGCGGGAGGCGCGCCTGGGCCGCACGCGTGCGGCCCAGGCGCGCCTCCCGCGGTTGGGCCTCGCCTGCACGCGGGGTCCCCTTTCCAGCTGCTATATTTGCCCCCTTTCCCCCTTCCAGCTGCTACCTATCCACCCCAACACCCCCAATCTCCAAATTTGGAAGCTAAGTTATTGATGGGTTGGAGATGAAAAAAGGCAAAATATAGCCTTTCTCCAAATTTGCAAGCAAGGGTTGGAGTTAGTCTAAGTAAAGAGGAATTGGGAAATAGGCGTTCGCCACGTAAGCACCACCGTTAGTCCAGTCAGACTTAACGTTAACACCGTCAAAGAATGTGACGAAGTTGGATATAAGTGGTATTTCCGGTTTTTTGGATATTATTGGCACAAACGTGATACTTTTGGATATACAAGTGTATTTAACCTTTAAAACTACAATTGATTTGTGGAACAAGGCCTTCTTACTTGAGGGCCGACCCGACCTGTCTAGCCTGTACGGGTAAGGATCTTGCCGGCTACCAAGCCAACCCAATTTTTTATTGGTGTAATCACCTCACCCTATTTTAGCCAACTTATTTCAATATCAAAGTAAAATTTATAAAATTCAAATCATATCTAAAAAATTAAAATAACCCAAATTAATTCCCAAATTTACAAAAAATTCCAAAATAATACACGATACAATTTGCATCATTTTATTAATTTTAATTCTTGAAATCTACACTGCTCCATTTATCAAATAAATAAAAATAATATTAATTGAAATTGTCAACTTACTAACCAAAACACATCATATACAAAATAAAGCAAAGAATTACCTGCCAAAAAGTAGGGGTTAAGCTAGCAGACTACAGAGGAATTAATTCAGATACGAAACCTTTTATCAAATTCCCGCTTTGGCGGGAAATAAGACATACCATTATTCAAACCCACACACAAGAGGGAGGAAGGAACCGGAAACAAGCAGAGTTCCATTTTTACAACAACAAAAAAAAAAAAAAAAAAAAATTCCCCCGCGCAAAAAAATCACCGGGAACGACGATTCTCCCGATCAGAACACTGCCAGAAAGTCGCCGACGACCTCATCGAGAAGCCCATTCAGGACCTGCTTCTCGACCTCTCGTATCACTTCCTCCTCCTCAGGAAACTTCAAATCGGCCTTCTCCCAGCCGATCTCCCACATTGAATTCACGTCCGGCTCGCTGTTACAAACATCGGCTTCGAGCATCTTCGGCAGGTAATCTTCGATTCCCGACTCCGCGTTTCCGTTCCTTCCGTACAATCTCAGCTTCTCGAGATCATTGCACAGTTGCTTGATTAGGTCATCTAGGTTTTCCGTAGAATTGAGGCGTAGCTTCGTGTAGCGATGAGTTCTGAGCAACTCTTGTCTTTTCCCCTTCCGTTTCATTACTTCGTACCCGCAATCTGCCGTCAGTCTGCTCTCTTGATTGTGGAAATCGGGGGCGTCGCAGACGACGTTGAGGATTTCTATGGGAATGTTGAGCAGGAAGAGTGCCTCGGCTGTATCGAGGAATCGCTGGTTCTTTACCAGAATTTGCTTCAGGAGATTCTCAGCTTCTGTCAGTGGCTTTGCTAATGGCTTCTGTTGGCTTACATTTTGGTCCTCCTGGTTCAGTTGTTGGTCTTCTGCAATCAGTTCATCAAAGTCAGATGGTTTATTGCAATTCAGACAGAGGGCAGTTACCATTGATTCGGATTTTTTACCGACCTTTTACTGAATCTGAGACATTTGGTTGAGACTCATGTTCATCACTTCCGGCGTTGTTGGTGTCTTGATCCTCTTGCTTACCTATCTCCGTTGAGACTATGTTCTCAGAATAAATTGGGAATTCTGGACCCTTGAGGCTTGCACCATCGTCACTTAGATCATCATGTAATTGGAAATACAAAGCTTCCCCAGTCTCAGTTTGTGGCTCTTTTGATGTGTATGCTTGCTGAATGCTTGCTGCAGGCTTTTCGGATTTGACTAGTTGAACTTTTGGATCTTTGAGCTTCCCTGATCTCTCCTTATTTGTTTCCTTTGCTGCACTCAGCTTTTTATCGACTCCCCTTTGCTTCTTTTGTGGGAATGTGGAGGAAGCCTGGCGTTTCACCAGGGGCGGGTTGGGTAACTTTTGTGAAGCTCCTCTCCTCTTGTCTGCAAGTTCATCAATCCTTCGGGCAGTTTCCACTTTCTGTGCTCTTGTGGGTGGATTTTTCAGCTCTGTGGCTGGCAGGCGAGCAATTTTCTCTTCCTTGCCAGATCCTGAAAAGGGAGTTCTATTCTTTGTCTTCGTAGTGTTATCTGATTTCTGATCTTTGGAAGGAAAATTTTCATTCAAGTTTCTGCTTCTCGAATCCTGCTTGTGGACAATTGCAGTAGCTGAACTTCTGGCTGGTTCAAGATCTCCATTGGATGTATTATGTGCAACCCTTTTGGTTGTTGTATCTTCCGATTGTATGTGGCTTTTGCCATGAGGAGCTGCTTGGATTCGCTGCGCTGTTTCTTGCCTCTTCATTTGAGTCTTCTGTAGCTTCATGTCTTTTGAATCCAAATTCTTGGCCAAACTAGGCTGGTGCTGGTTTTGGCTCTCTTTCACTCGATTGCTTGAGTTCTGCTTGTTTGCACCTCTCTTCGCCACCTTGAACTCTGTTTGAGCCGGCCAAGTAATAGCAGATTCAGAGCCTCTCACTGACTGTGGCACCATTACCAACTGGTATTGGTCATGTCGTGGGATCATGTCCTCAAAATCATCGACTTTCTGTCCCCGCTTGACCTCTGCATTGTTATATTTCCCTTCTTTCTCTCCAATCTCCTTTACACTTCTGTTGAGTTGGCTTGATATATAGTTGCTTTGCTGCTTGTCTATTTTCATGTTAGCCATGTTCGACCCTCTCATTGGCTTTATCCCTTCGGCATCATTGTGGATTTTTCTTCTATCATTTTGTTCCGATTGCAGTGCAGATGTTTCTTCTTGCATCACCTGCTTTTGCTTCCTTCCTGGAGGTGGAGGAGGTACCAAATTCTCCACATCTTTTTTCTTCCGCCTATCATTACCCTTCTCCGGGGAAGTCACAACTGACGCCACACTTTTCTTCCTGGAACTGGCCTCTTTCTCCATAGTACCATCCACTACATCTTCATTTTCTGGAAGTTCTTCCATCCCCATCAATTTAGCAACTACGTTAGAGATCCTTTTCTTTTCTGTCTTGGGTTTTGATGCACTTGATTGATTCCTCGTTTCAGTAACTGTCGGATTCCTCACACTGGGCACACGGCTGGATGATCGCTTGTGAGAAGGAATAGTCGAGTGGCCAACATCAGAAACCTTTTCAGGGTCCTCAGAAGCGTAAGGCAGGGCCATTAGCATCCTCTGTTTGAGATCACTTCTCGTAATTTCCTTGGTGTAGGTAGAAGGAGTCTTTGAAGGTCTTCTGTCAAATGAAAATCTTGGAAGAGCAATCTGCTTCATCTGAATTGCACCTTTCATGGCTTTCTCGTCTTCATCATCATCTTCTTCTTCACCCTCCTCATCAAGTAACTTGATCCGGCCTTTTCTCTGCGGAGTGACTGTGTAATCCGAGCCTTCTTGTAGGTTTACAAGCATCCTTAGTGATTCTTGCAAATCCATGGCTCCTTTCAGCAGCTCTTTCCCTATCTCAACTGAATAAGTATCAATGTTGTGGCCATTAGAGCAAGCTCTCAAGATCTGATTCAATCGTTGTGCCCCTTTGGAAATCTCTCGGATATGGTGATTAGATAGCGCTGGAAGATGGCTGGAAGAAGAGAAGTGGATGTCTATGTTACTTGCTTTCTGCATGTTTCCCCAGTCCACTGATCTTCTGCTAATTTGATGCAGGAAATTCAGCATTGACCTGCTCCCAGGTGCATCCATTCTCCCGAGTTTTGCTCCGTTCTCAATAGCAAAAGTTAGCGCCATGGTGAGATCTCCAACTTGTTGATGATGGTTTTGTTGTTGACCTCTCCTAACTGGAACAAGCTGCTTTGAATTGTTCTCCATTGAAATTGATCTGTTGCTTGAACTATGTCTATTGTGCCCAGCTGCAGTCCTAATGCCTGCCTGTGGAAATGGATTAAGAACAGCTCAAGTTTCAAGTGACTGAAGGTCGGTTTATTCTATATCTCAAAACACTTAAACAGCTTATAACTTACTGTCTGTTGAGTTCTCATGTCCCTGGAACTTCTAGATGTTGGTTTGGTGTATGCATATGAATCTGTTACAATAAACATGTGGCGGAATACTCATTAACAGAAACATAAAGGAACTGAATTTCCATTTTCTAATCGAAGGAACCAATTGTTGCTTACCTGAAGCAACTGGTCTTGAACCTCTGGAGTTCTGATGATGATGAGAGGCAGCCATCCGCTCCTTCCGGACTCGGAGATCATCCAACAGCTTCTGAGCAAAATCCGATCTCTTCGCCATGTTTTCGCTTCTCGACTGGAGAATGAGAGTTCCCCACAAGAATCTCAGACAGAAGGTATGCACATTTGGTGGCTTTTTCTGGGAATGTTTGTGTTACAGGGTAAGGTGTTATTTTTGGGTTCGCTGGTTTTTCTTGGTTACGGTTGGGATGGTTCTTTCGGAGTTGGGTGAGATGGGAGGTTGCATTCAAAACTTAACACAATGCAAATGTTGAATGCAAAACACTGGATGTCCCGTTCTCTCTCTCACTTTAGAGGAGTGAGAGAGTTTCGTGACTTTGATTGCAAACCAAGCAAACAGTGGACAGACATACCTGAGAGAAAATCTATTCCAAAGTCCTTTTCTTTTGTGCCCATCTTTACATTCTTGGGTCTGGTTCCATATATCAACAGAAATTTAGATTTGGATCCTGTGTTGTGGGAAGGAGGACAAAATGCAGAATCCATATGCCTTATCTTAGGCTTAAGGTGGGTAACATGTAAAAAGACACGGAGAAGAATATGCAGATTTTTGGGTGATGTAAAACTCTTTTGAGACCTTTTTGGCACACAATGCAACTGTTTTCTTCTTGGGTGTGTTCGGTTGAGTGACTAGTTTCCCCCTCCCACTAGAAGAGTTAATTATGGTTTGGTTGAGTGACTTCAAATTCTTGTTTTTCTCTGTGTCAGGTATCATGAACTGTGAGGTGAGAACTTCCTAGCTAGTCCAGACCAAAGATTGTGAAATCTTATCGAAAGTATTAAAGTTTTACCTTAATCATGGTTCAATCATTTCGTATCGTTAAAACGATCTATTGTTTGGAGTTCTGTACCTGTATTTTTTATCCGACCGATTATAGGATATGGATTCTAAAACATTGGTCCAAATTGCTACTATCAAAGAACAAGACAGTTGAACCGGCATTTAGTAGGGCTATCCAACTTTGTATGCATCGCTACTTGAAATGCATTTTCATATTGTGGGTTAGATATGAACTCGATCATTTTTTTATGTTCAATTTTAGCAGCTTATTAATATTAGTGACCCGTGGCCGGCTTGATTAGGCGGAGAACTATGGAGGAGAATGCCAGCAAATTTTAAAGAGGTTAGTTCCACTAACACAATCTATTTTGTCGGTGTATTGAGATCCAAGGTTCCGTTTATGGATCCGTATGACTGTCGGAGGATCTTATTTCGGCTTTGGCTGCTAGTTACTGCTAGTTTATCCTTCTCAAAAATCATCTGCCATTTTTACATTCATTCAAAGATTTTCAATATCGTCGATTGTTATATGTGTGCTAAATTTCCAAGTACATAAGGCTCTCGTATGATTGCCATACATTTGAGTATGTATCGGTTTAAACTCATCTTGTAAAACTTCTCGTGCCTAATAAGAGTTTTAGGGTTAAACTCATCATTATAAAAAATTTACCATTGGGATTGCATTTCGCTAATTTATTCTGTAGAGTGGTACAGTTTGAGAAGCTCTGGTTTGTATAATGATTCCAATCATCCCTCTATATTAAGACTTCTAAGACTCCCATCGTCCCACCTTTAAGGATCTTTCCTATCTTGATCTATATAGAAGACAGGTTCTCATATCAATTTAAAACTAAATTTGAATGATAGAAGTATGAAGTTAAGTGTGGTGTATCTAGACCGTAGTCGTGAAGTTTGTTAACACTATCTATCATGGAATGAAGCCCAATTAAAAGGCAGTAAATGAATCAAGTGGAGTTGAGTTTTGATATAAATTAACGAGTCGAGCTCCAGTTGTTTACTAAAACATTGGTTTGTGTTTGACTTGACCTCGACTCATTAATGAGCTAACAAGCTTTGCTCGAGGTTGGCTCATCAATTAGCTCTGCATATCAACTGGAGCCGAGGTATCATATATATAATTTATTTAATAATTTTTAATTGTTCATATCATGTTATTTAATAGCAATTAGTATCCCAGCAATCTATGATACATAATATATATGGAGACATATTTGATCACGTGCTGAAATTATTAACAAACCTTTGAATTATTAACAAGCGAATGATAAGCTATTACCCAATTTGTTGATGTGGCTCGCTAGCTATACTATCGAGCTAGCTCGCGAGTTGAGCTTGACAAGCTATCAAATCGAGCTGACTCACAAGTCTTGCGGGCCGAACATGACTTAGCTCAAACTTGACTTGTAGTAAACGAGTCGAGTGTCGACTGAATTTTTCTCTAACCAAACTCCGAACCGCTCGTGAGCATATTGGCTCATTTGCCACCCTACCCTCAATGATCGCTTATATTGCATGAAGATGATAAGTTTTGTATTCCCTTGGGCTCTTGACTATTTGTTATTCAAACAAGGCCTTGAGACTAGGGCTGCAAATGAGCCGAGCTACTCGCGAGCGGCTCGGCGTTCGACTCGAGAAAAGCCCGTTCGAAACTCGACTCGTTAATAAACGAGTCGAACACGAGCTCACCTGTGTTCAGCTCGTGAAGCTCGCAAGCTAGCTCGACTCGGTGGCTTGTTGAGCTAAACTCGTGAGCTGGCTCGTTTAGAGCTCATGATATGTCTTAACATATGGCTAGAGAGCCAACTCGATTACCAACTTATGGACGAATCAATCTGTATCTTATAATTTTAATTCATATGGTTGTTAATTTATATATCTCACCATATATAAAATTTTGCACGTTGAGTAAGTGAGCTAATATATTTTATTTTCTACATTAAAAAGAAATTATGCATCATAGATTGCTTCGATACAATGAAATAACATGATTTGGAGTAGTTAAAATTTATTAACTAAACGATATATGATACCAACAAAGTATAAAGTATAAGACTAACTCCAACCCCAAAAGCTATATTTAGCCTCCCAAGCTCTCAAATGTGCATATTTGCCTCCCCAAAACACATTTTTGCTCCAACCCTAAAAGCTTCCAAATTTAGCTTCTCACATCTTTTTTTGATTTAATTTCCATAATCCATACTTATTTACAATATCATTCTTGTAATTCACTTTAATTTTTTATAGTTTGTTATTACTTGTGAAAACAAAATTTTCGATGTAATTTTTTTTTAATTCCGAGATATTTTTTTTTTTTTGCAAAATTAGTCATTTTTTATGGCCGTTAAAATGTGTCCGTTGCAATGTGACCGTTTTATTGTCACTATATTACTTCTTTCAAACTAAAACGCAAACACACCCACACAAACTAAAACGCAAACATACCCACACAAACTAAAACGCAAACACACCCACACAAACTAAAACGCAAACAAAAAATGAAAAAAAAAAAATAAAGCAGCAGCAGGGGACCCCGCGTGCAGGCGAGGGCCACCCGCGGAGGCGCGCCTAGGCCGCACGCGCGCGGGAGGAAGCCCTTCCTCCCGCGCGCGTGCGGCCCAGGCGCGCCTCCGCGGGTGGCCCTCGCCTGCACGCGGGGTCCCCTTTTCCAGCTGCTATATTTGCCCCCTTTCCCCCTTCCAGCTGCTACCTATCCACCCCAACACCCCAATCTCCAAATTTGGAAGCCAAGTTATTGATGGGTTGGAGATGAAAAAAGGCAAAATATAGCCTTTCTCCAAATTTGCAAGCAAGGGTTGGAGTTAGTCTAAGATGAGACTATCTAACAAAATAAATCATATGTATCATGATATACAAAATGAAGTACCAAATAAAAGTTAAGATTTTAATAAACAAGCTAGCTCGAGCTCGACTCGACTCGGCTCGTTAATAAATGAGCTGAGCTCGAGCTCGACTCGTTTATTAACGAGCCGAGCTCAAGTTGGGGTAAAACTCGACTCGACTCGGCTCATTTGCAGCCCTACTTGAGACTATTAGGGATGTTTTCTTTGACAATTCAGCCATAAAATAAAACAAACTCATAATGCGGTAGGCCGCAAGGCAGGATAATTGCTTCAACGTCAAGAAATTGTTATTGTATTTTACCATTAAATAACAACCAACCCTAGTTTTCCTTGTGGTCGTGGAGAAGTATAATACCAAAAGTAGGGCTGCAAACGAGCCGAGTCGAGTCGAGTTTTTGCTTAGCTTGAGCTCGGCTCGTTTATTAATTTTTCAGCTCGAGCTCGGCTCGAGCTCGAATTTTGATAATCCAGCTCGAGCTCGAGCTCGGCTTGAAGAAAAATAAACTAGCTCGAGCTCGACTCGGTAGAGCTCGATAAATTCTCCTTAACATAGCTTGTCAAGCTGAGTACAAGCTCGACTCAAGATGAACTCGATTTAAAATCATTTTTGCTGGAAAAATGTATAAACATAAGAATTTAAAGGATAGAAAGAACACTAGAAACTATAAATAACATCAAAATTTCATACACATCTGTATTAGAAGACAATGTTCATGTTTAAAAGAGTAATTCATCCTTCCCCAAGCTCAAAACAAGGCAGCTCGCGAGCTTAGCTCGACAAGCCACCGAATCAAGCTAGCTCGCGAGCTTATCAAGCTGAGCATGGTCTAGCTCAGGCTTGGCTCGTTAACTAACGAGTTGGCTCGCGAGCCGGCTTGTTAAATAACGAGTCGAGTGCCGAACGAGTTTTTTCCGATTCGAACGCCGAGTTGCTCGCGATCGGCTTGGCTCATTTGCAGCCCTAACCAAAAGGAATTTGGAATATGCTAGGTCTCAATAAACCACAGCCGTTCGATTCGCATAGTAAAACAGCTGTTATCTCCAAGTACCGTCCAAATCGCACATCGATCGGTCCCTCTAGTCAAACCATCGAAGCCGTTGGATAATATTTCGTTCTCCATTTAAATATATGAATAGTTTTTCGAAGTTGAATCGGTTCTCATCATTATTAAATCCCTAGGCGCCATCATTATTAAATCCCAGCCTCCAATCTCCCAGCTCCTTCTGAACATGTCCGAACCTCTGCATCGACTTCTCTGCAGATCTACCTCTTTGCTCCCGTTCGCGATTGGACGGGAGGATTCGGCTTCGATGGTAGCTCTGTGGGCGATTTGCCCTCGATGCTTGGTTGCTCCCACGGATCCGCAGATATCGACCTCTTGAGTATCGTGTATCAGCTCTGCTTCTATGCAGGTATGTCTATTTTCTATGGAATTTTGATTTGTTTGTTTTTGGATATGTTTGATCTAGCTAGTTTGTTCTTTCGGGAAGTATGTCTCCGCTGATTTAGCCTGCTTGTATGGAGGTTTCGTTGCTTAACTTTGTGGTAATGGATGATTCATAAGTCCCGCTCAGGTGTTTCGCTGATGGGTTTAATTGGGGTGGCGTTTGCATGCTTGATACTGAATCGCACGCTAGTTTCGGTGTTAGGTTTGTACTGTTGATTTGCGTTCGATCGATCAGTACTAGTTGTGAATTTTCTTCTTGATCTTGTATTTGGAGCTGGTTGGTTGTTTTGGATCGGTTTACAGAAGAGTTCCGTTGCTTCTGATATGGTTGTTGATGTCTTATAGTGTCTTCTTTTCATAGTGGTTGATTCTAGGGAGTTGGAGCTTGGAGGGAGACGATATGAACTTCCATCATGGTGAGATGAGGGTGTGTTCTTCAGCTAGCAGCCCGTCCGCTTATGATCTGATGATTGGTGACGTATTTTGCCAGCTTGAATTGAGCTAGCTGGAAGGGTTCGTGAAGGTTATTGTGCTGGAACACGGTTTGTGATTTTATTTATGTCTTCATTCAATCTGTCCATCGTGTTGCTCGGAAGACGAGATGGTTGAACCAGGGAAAGACAATTAGGGTGTTCTTTTTTTAAGCGTTACTTGTGCCTGTGACGTTTGTTTGTCAACCGACCTTTGCCATGTTGGGTGCGCTCGCATGGCAGGTCACAGATACCCTAATAAAAGAAGCATTTTTTGGGTTTGGAGGGGGGAGATGGCACAGGGGTATTCTTTCTTAGTGAAGTATTTTCGACCCCCGGCTCTCCCTCCTCCATGTGGGTGTGTGTGTGTGTCGTTGTGCACCTCTTTCCCGCTTTTCCTTCCTTTCCATTCAATAGTTACTCACTGCAAGGCAACCGGGACAGAACATGCATACAGGGAACCAGAATAACCTTCACAGGTACAAATTTCCTTGCTCCTGCTGCTCAATTCCACGATCTTATACATAAAGAGGTATTTGATCATCTATTTTCAATCTGCATCCATGAGAAGTACATTTGCAGCAGTTAATCAACATAGCCAGATGTTGAAGTTAACGAATACCTGCCCCTAATTGACAGGTCCCTAGGTTATTCTACCTGAAACTGTCTTTTGGGCACAGTTCATTGATTTGCACTAGTGAAATCTATCTACTATCTCAGGACTTACCTAGAGAAGTGAATCTTGTTGAATTAGTTTGGGGAAAATCCAACTCTAATCGTAACCGAGAAAGATAATACAGCTGCATCTCGTAAGCATTATGAGTTACATGGTTGTATCATTTTCTCTGTTGCCATTCAAATCGAAGTTAACACAATAAATGGACCTCCCCATACTCGACACCTATTGGTTTGATACAGCTAATGCTCATGGCAGCATTCGCTTTTTTGTCTCTGTTAGTCCATCTTAAAAGAATTTTCCATCTTTATTTGATTGGATGTGTATTACTTTGTCAGTATTGCTTGAACTGCATCTGTTTGTATTGCGGCAGCAGCTGTTGGCTGCATAGTAAGAGCATGTATTTTCATAGTACTGTTAAAGCTATTCCATTTGTGCTGTACTTGTGCCCTTTAAGGCCAGTTGAAAATAGGTTGTAAAACGTGAAGATGGTATTGAGCTTCTTCATCCAGGGGGTTACTTGGGTAAAGGTTGATGAAGTGTGGCTATCTCAAAGGTGGAGATGCTGTATCTGGTTTGCTGGAGCTGTGGTGTAGAACTTTGTATGAGAGCTGCTGTTCCTGTTCAATTGGGTGAGTGTTCTCCATTGTTGTCGGGCCTTGTCATCTGTCGCAGTGTCTTCCAGAAGCGTTCACTTATCTTTTATATCAAATTCTATTGCAGAGCAGGCAACATATGGTTGTCTGTAAATGATTGCTGCGACCGAATGTTAGATTTGAGGCACGGAGCATGGAGGGAGAAAAGTGCCCTACCAAAAGCAACAGACATGGTCTTGCGGTGATAGTTTTGAGTTCTTGCTTCAGGTGCTTCAATAACACTATCTGCATTGGCGATTGATGTTGGCGTCCCAAGGGTTTCATGGCATCTTTTGCATCAATGAGTATACAATTTCTTTTCCCAAACTTCCCCTCGTCGGCTCTTGCTATCTATTCGCTTCAGTTCGCTGAAATATTATTTGCTTTGGATTTGGGATTGCATGTTTGAGTTTGAATCGAGTGGATCCAGTTCTAGGAGCAGTCATCCGTTTGTTGATGGTTTCGAGTAGGATGGCCTTGTCGTACGTTGCTAGGGTATCCATGTTTGTGCTGTTCAGGCCCTCTTGGTATATCTTAAGGATTCACAGACTTAGATTCTGCTTCATGGTAATAGGAATGCGGCTGGTTTGGTTCAAACTGTACCGAGCTGCAAACCATCCATTATTCTGTACAGCAGGCTACACTTCGAGTAAAATTTGCGGGTTTTTTGCTTGTACGTTGGGTAGTAGGTGTAGTTTTACTGGACTAAGCTGCAATGGAATTGAACCCTGAAATGGGAACCAATTCATTGCGTTCAAGATAACCACTATCCAGCACTTGAACAATGGTTAGAATGGTTGCGGTTCGGCTCGGTTATACGTGATTGGTTACCCCTCACTACGTCATAATTACGGCCTGCTATGTCTATTTTGGTGTAGTTTTTTAAGGTATATAAGTCGTCTGTGGTGGATCTATCAGCTCAAAGTGGTTAGAGCACTTTAGGCCGTTGGGCTTGAGGAGGATGGTGGTTCGAATCCATCTGGATCCGTTTTCATATTTGGTATTGGCAATCCACTGCTAGTTCTAAACGCTGGAGCTTATAATTTATAAATAAATAATTGATTGGTTGTTGGTGCGTTTATTTTATTATATTTTATTTGACAGGTAATATCAAGTTATCAACTGATTCCACAAATCAAGCTCTGATATGAGATTAAGAATAGTGATCCTGGAGAAATTCTTCGGTGCACCGGGTGTACCACGTCACCCGTGCACCGCCCCAATAGAATATTGCCACGTGTCAAGGTAATAAAAAATATAAAAGGCAACTGCACTCTTGCGAGGTGAAATCGACGCGCCGTCTCAATGCGGAATTCTAATTCCCATCGGCGTCAAACCCCCACAGCCCAAAAATGAAATCATATATATGCAAACAATAAAGAAGCATCAGAGCTTATCCTCATCCTTTTGAGGACCGCAAATGAATTCTTCTCCATCTGGGAAACCGGCAGCAACGTCGGGGAACTTTATAGTTTCTCGTTGGTGGCGTTCTCTGTGTCGTGGAAGAAATTTTAATAGACAAGGTCTGGAATTTAGGATTGGGAGGGAGGTGGGTCGGGTTTAGATTAAGGTTCAGAGAAGGAAAAGCTTGGCGGGTCGAAGAGCGGAACGAATTAAAGCGGTAGAGGACGTCGGCGGTGGCGGTGGAGGAGAAGTTGGCTCTGCGACGGTACTTCGTATCCGCAATTACTTTTTTTTAGTTTTTATTTTTTAAACCTTGAACACGTAGCAATATTCTATTGGGGCGGTGCACGGGTGACGTGGTACACCCGGTTCACTGAAGAATTTCTCGTGAACCCGTGCACCGCCCAAATAGAATTTTTTTTTCATTTCGCATAACTTTTCAAGATCTACAACTTTTAATATAATCATAATTTCAAAATGTACATGGATTTCAGAAAAGTAAAGGTAAAGTTATTCTCAAGGTCCCGTATATCCACAAATAGTTCCTGTTTTGAAAATTTCATCCTAGTAAAAGTTGTAGATCTTGAAAAGTTATGCGAAATGAAAAAAAAAATCGCTACGATCGGATACCCGAGTGCAAAGTTACGTTCATTTGAAGTTTCGACCGAACTTTTGGACCAAACCGCTGGTTGGGGTGGCGGTTTTGGGCCAAACCGCCACCCCACCCAGCGGTTTTGGTCCAATTTTTTTTTTTTATAACCGCCCCCAAGGCCCGCGGTTTGGTCCAAAACCGCGCCCCCGACAAGCGGTTTTCGACCAAACCGCTGGGTGGGGTGGCGGTTTTTGAAAAAGGGTGGTATTTTTGGAATTTTTTGGGGTTGGGTGGTATTTTTGGAAAATTTTTTCTAAACAGTGGTACTTTTGGATTTTTTCCCCATTTTTTGAATCCGAATAACTTTTTGAGATCTTGAAAGTCTCAAACAGTCGGGTTCCGTCTTCGTCTCGAAAAAACGTCATTTGCCACCCCGAACGACCTTTTTTTTTATTTCGTCAAACTTTGGGCGGCCATAACTTTGTGCTCCAAAATCCGAATGTCATGAATTTTTTTTATTCTGCATAACTTTTCAAGATCTACAACTTTTAATATAATCATAATTTCAAAATGTACATGGATTTCTGAAAAGTACAGGTAAAGTTATTCTCAAGGTCCCGTATATCCACAAATAGTTCCTGTTTTGAAAATTTCATCCTTGTAAAAGTTGTAGATCTTGAAAAGTTATGCGAAATGAAAAAAAAATCGCTACGATCGGATACCCGAGTACAAAGTTACGTTCGTTTGAAGTTTCGACCAAACTTTTGGACCAAACCGCTGGTTGGGGTGGCGGTTTTGGGCCAAACCGCCACCCCACCCAGCGGTTTTGGGCCAAACCGCCACCCCACCCAGCGGTTTTGGTCCAATTTTTTTTTTTTATAACCGCCCCCTAGGCCCGCGGTTTGGTCCAAAACCGCGCCCCCGACAAGCGGTTTTCGACCAAACCGCTGGGTGGGGTGGCGGTTTTTGAAAAAGGGTGGTATTTTTGGAATTTTTTGGGATTGGGTGGTATTTTTGGAATTTTTTTTTAAACAGTGGTACTTTTGGATTTTTTCCCATTTTAGACCTATAAACTTTTGTAACGTTGGTTACAAAGTGGTGGCGAAGTGTTTGGCCGAGAGGCTTAAACATCTAATGCCCTGCCTTGTGAATCCAAACCAGACAAATTTCGTCCCAAAAAGACACATTACTGACAATATCATTATTTTGCAGGAGACTGTCCACTCGATGATGAAGAAAACGGGCAAGAAAGGAAGCATGCTTCTTACAATCGACCTCGCCAAGGCCTACGACAGGATCGATTGGAGTTTCCTTGAGGAAACTTTGCGAAGTACGAGACTTCCATCAAGATGTGTGGACATTATCATGAAGTGTGCCACTACAAATTCATTGCAAGTGCTGTGGAATGGAGGGGAAACCGAGAGCTTCACTACGAGCAGAGGTCTTCGGCAGGGATGTCCACTATCTCTTTATCTCTTTACACTTTGCATTGAAAGATTGAGTCATTGAATTAACAATTATTTGAATGTTGGCAAATGGAAACCTATGAAATTATCTGTGAATGGCCCTCCCCTCTCCCACCTTTTCTTTGCGGACGACCTTGTCCTCTTTGCTGATGCGAACCCAAAGCATGCTGATTTTGTGATTGAATGCCTGGATTTGTTTTGCAATGCCTCTGGGGAGCTCATCAGCAAAGAGAAATCAAGCGTGTTCTTCTCTAAGAACACT